TGTGCAATAAGCTATGTAGTGTAGATACTAAAAAAATATTAACAAATCCCTTACTTTAGCGAATTCAAATAATAACAAAAAGGGATTTTTAATAAGATCTGTTTGATGTATATTAGAAAGTACTACTGCGGTTTATAAGCTTCACGTTGGGACAGCAGAATAAATGACTGCAGTCAAATCACAAGGAAAGCCTACAGTTGGTTAGCATGGACATGGGGCCCTTGCGCCCAACACGGCGTACTGTTTACCTTTACAACGTGGTAGATCTAATTATAAGTGAGATGCGCTTGCAACACTCGAGTCACGACCGAAACCTTCGTTCTAATCGAAGATACGGTGTAAAATTATTCATACAACTTTCATTTCGTATTATCTCGCTTATCATATTAAGAAGAATTTTAAATTATATGCTTGTATTCGTAATGGTCACAACTGTCCACAAAATTAAGCACAGTTACTGTGACAATAATCAATTAAAAAGTTCTCAGTTTCTATTTTCATTTACAATTTGAATAGCTTTTCCCGATTTCAATGTTTAACAAATTTTAATAGGTCAACATCTGTCGTGTCAGTTAGTTATTAGATCTATGATATTTTATGTTTAACTGACAATAAATTGGTATGCGGTTTCGATGTTTGACGTAGTTAAAATGTGTGGGCAAAAATCCAATATTTGAATTGTTTAATAATTGAATTCTCATAGCCTTAGTATATGAATTTGACAGACTCAGTCATTGTTCATATTGTTTTATTTATAAATGTTTTATTTTATTATAAATCTAGTGGTCGCCGAAAAGACCGACCTAAAGTTACAACATACAGATAAGCTACCTTCCAGTAAAAGTCCCATCAAAATGGGTCCAGTTGTTTCGGCAATTATTCGTAACAGACGCGGATTACCGAACCGACAGACATACACAAGGAAATAAAAAATTACTTTCGTTTTGAGTAACGCAAATACATCATATTCACTAAATACGTATTTTTATAGTACAGACACGCCAATTTTATTAATTTTACAGATCTAGCTGTCGCCCGCGACTCCATTCGCGCGGGATTAAAATAGATGTTGGCCGATTCTCAGACCTATTCAATATGCTCACAAATTTTCATGAGAATCGGTCAAGCCGTTTCGGAGAATTATGGGAACGAAAATTGTGACACGAGAATTTTATATATAAGAAGATATATTAATGGTGCAATCCAGTTTATTCTTAAATTATGATTCTCCGCTGCAAGCGGTATAAAAACAGAAATTTCTTACATGCGGAGACACAACAACATACCACGAATTGCAGGGAGTCAGAGACCCCCTGCTACTTCAACGTCGCAGGGGAACTCATATGGAATGGGGGTCGGCAAATTTTATTAAAGGATTTACCCCGCCGGGAAAAATGTATTAAGATAAATTGATCCCGACGTAGTTCGTAAACATTCGAGTCAAACAGACGTCTTATCAATTATTTATCAATAACATTATCAAAATTACAGATAGCGTACTTTATTAGTAATTCACAGGTCAAATAGTCTACGAATTAAATAATTACTGTTGATTATTTCAAATTATTTCACTTAGGTAAGAAAAACTCTACTGTGATTCTAATACCTTACTACGTTTTTAATGCCATTCCAAGGCATGAATTAAGTTTCATGAAGCACATCCTTATTAAAGACTCCCATAACTTTCTCATCGTATCAACAATTAAAAACAAAAATAATTGAGACCATGTGATGGGCATATAGTTCGTGGGGTCAGGCATAGGAAGTGCGCATATGTAATTGCGGCGAATGGACACAATGAGGGGAATTGGCCAGAACGACAATTGTAGTGCGAGCGACGACCGGACCCATGCCCATTGATTGAATGAACGACCAAATTCAACAAATAATAAAAAGCAACGACGCGTAAATGGTTTGCGAGTTACAAATGCATTCGAATCTCGTTACAAGTCTTGTAAGAAAAAAGCTTATAAAATGTACTGTAAGTACTTTTTAACATACAAGAGATGAAGTTCATATCGCAAAATAATACATATAATCATGAATGCAATTTACCGAATTTAACTTAAAGGACAAAAGATGAACATGATAATAAATTCGATCTCATTTAATTTACACAAATAAAATATTGGCGTCACATTTCTGAGGAAAGGAACATAGTCGATCACGTGTCAAATAAAATGAAGGCATTAGGAAACACCGCCTTAAGCAAACACTCATCGAAAGTCTGTTGAACTTTGTTATAAATTCGATAGACGTTTATCTCACTCATATAATCAATAAGGCTTATAGCTTTTACTCCGTGTAGTACCTATCTTTTATATTGATTGTCGTTGTTCGTGATTTGACACCGGATTTCCAGATTTAAGGCCGAGCTCAACTACTTGGTATTAGGAAAAAAAACTATTAGCTTTGTGTTTAGTAGTGTTCGTTTTATTTTATGTAAATGAAGCTGACCGTAACGAACAGAATTCTATTTGTATTATTTATTGTCTTTCTGATTATAAAGATTTGTTTTTTTTTTCTTCTTTTTAATGTCCTATATCCCATCAAGTGGTCAACTATCTTACAACCTACGTCAAACTCAATCTCAACTGAAGATTTTCGAGGTAATTATCAAATGTTGCGCAAGCACGAAGTGTAAGTAGTGAAATAATTTATAACAATTTAAATTAATTTAGAATTCAACAACTAGGTGCAATGTCCCGGATACGCCAATTCCGGGTCGACGCGCAAAACGTCAAGCCGGCATCTTATTCACTTATTGATTTAGAGGAACGGAATATGTCGCATCTACTGCACGTTGTCATAACCTAAATCTGGAACCGACGGTGCTATTTCCGTCTTTAACCGGACGACTGACATTTGAAATCTATTAGGTTTATATCTATTTATATTTATTTGGAGCTTCTACTTTTAATAGTACTTATTACCTTAAGCTATGTTAAATACGCAGAACACATAATATGTATGAACATATAGCTAAGAAAGACTACCAAAGGGGAGAAAAATCTCGTCACAATGACGCCAGATTGTTAATTACTATTATTTCATATTACTCTTACTGCGATGGAGTCAAAGCATATTAAAATGAGCGTGCAAGCACGCGATAATGGCAGGTAAGTAGCAATATCTAAACATGACTGGAACAGCGACTGTAGACCATTTACAATGCATTTTGCGTTGCAATTTCATCAATCTTGTGGCATTAAAGTGTCTCCCTGATCCCAACGAGTTTGTTTTGATCGATTACCTCTAGTAATGGAAAAACTACTTTTTTCTATTACAAAAACCGGACAACTTTTCTGTGGATTTAATTTTGCAAAACTTTTATTATTTTCGTTCTACACTAAAGGTGCACCACTGTGAAAAGTGAATATTAAATTAATTTGCCAATAGCAAGTTTTTGAAGAGAAATGTGTCAAAAGAAGCTTTGTGTTAGCTACTTTTGACATAGTTTTCAACTCTTTTGTCGTTGAAATTAAGTATTCGCGAAATAATTTAATGAAATGAATAACGACCCTTTTAATATTTTATAACAACGTAGTGCACGGCGTAGCAGGGTACCATTAGCCTATGGTTGAAATAGGTTTATTAACTTTACTGGTCTCGATAATGAAATTCAATGTTCGCTATTTAAAAGAGCAAATGCATTACAATTAAGATTATCAAGAGTTTATCGTTTTGACCTCCGTGACATTTAACCTGGAGAACACAGATGACAATTTTTACCAAACTTACCACACACGACTGTCACAGAGTATCTTGAAATTAAGATTGACCAGCTTGGTATTGTACTAAATCTATGATCATACATTCCATGACGATTATAATATACTTGTTACGACAAACGTATAAAGAGAATGACATATAATAGTTTGATACCCGTGATATTAAAAGACGTAGAAGATTTTTGCAATTTAAGAAAAAGCGTGAACGTCAAATAGAGCGATATTACATTCCATCTCTAATAGTCGTGATCTGCAGCGTGTAGAATCGACGAGGTATTCGGGGCCGTGCGACAGGTCCCTGATTTTCAACGCATTCTGTACTTAGTCGAAACCTGTCGCTACTATTTTGTCTTGCAATCGATGATTTTTTTCTATTTGAAAGATTACAAGCGACTGAATGTAGCACTGATTGCGCTATAATATTTTACATTTACTAATATTATAAAGAGGAACGATTTCTTTGCATGTTTGTTTGGCTATTAAACCGATTTAAAAAATCTTTCACTGTTGGAAGGCTAAACTATCGCCGGGTAACATAGGTTATATTTATTAGTAGATTTTGTTTATTTCCGTGCAGACAGAGCAACTGCTAGAATATCATAATTCCATCGTCATAAATCTTGTCGCCTCTTATATGACAAATTTACCAAAATAGTTAAAAATTTTGAATGTTTTGAAAAAGCTTTATCTCGACGATTTATCTCCTCATGTGCTTATGCTTTATTTATGAAAAAAAATTCTACGTCTTTCAAAATAACAATTGTTGAAAATAATAATGTTATTTTTGTTCGGATGATAGGGATATTAAGCGATCTTATGACCGTTACGGATCTCGGAGCATAACAATCGACATTACGTTACGCTCGAGTGCCTCATTCTCTATGACAGGTGCTGCCACCTGTCACCTTTCATTACATTATGGGTTTTTATTATAAATTTCATTACATTGAAAACGATTTGATAAAATCATAGTTAAATAATTATAATTATTTCAGTATTTTAAAAAGCGACTAAAAGATATGTTGTACAAGTATACCATTCTTAAAGCTCGACACTTAGTTACCATAAAATCGTCCTTAATAGGTTCTATAAATAAACACTCTTCGCTCATTATCCCACCCTATCTTATGATACTAGAGATAATTCTCAATTCACATTTCATGGTGCCGTTATTTTGTTCAGTAAAAACTGAAGTGATTTTAATTTATAATGTTTGTACATCGTCCCAATAATAGATTTTTTTTTCAGAACTTAAGTATATAAACTTACCTCCATTTCCAGCGTTGGTGATGGTTACCCAAAAGTCGATCGTTTTCTCAGGTCCCAACTCCTCATAGTCCCACTTCTTTTTAACTTTCACTACACCACTTGGTTCAACAGTGACCCACGGATTTTCGTCCCGAATTTTAAATGTTTCGCGATCAGTTTCCTTTTCGAGCGTGAATACCGCACGTCCTTCGACTTCCCCATCCGCCTCGGTAAACTCAATGCGCTTCGTCGGCCTCACCGCGCGGGTGACACGTCGTTTCTGACGACGCAATGCTGGAAGATCTTTTTTATTATGCACCACGAATTCTAGAAAGACTTGAGCTGGTCGACTTTTTCGCGGCGGCGAGCCCGTATCATGGGCAAGAACTTCTAACTCAGCTTCGTGGCCGTCGGGCTCTCCCGCTAGTATCAATTCGCCTGTTTGTGGCACAATAACCGCCAAGTTGCTGGGTGTTTTCAATGAGTAATACACTCGATCTCCGTCAGCATCGTAAGCATGAACTTTACCGATGTTTGAAAACCTTTGCCAATGTGCTGTTTCGTTATCACAGTTTTGATCCAAACTTCCATTCACAGCAAAGTAATAAATATCCTGCTCGAAAATAGGCTCGTGATCATTCTCATTGGTTACATCTATTCTGACAGCGAGGTTCGCTTTGTTACTGCCTCTCAAATCTGTTGCTTGCAGTGTTAAGTCATAAGATTTCGTATCCTCAGCGTCTAAAGGCCTCATTGCTATTATTTCCACATCTCCGTCACTAATAACGGATGCTACTTCAGGTATACCGGTCTTCGTTTTTTCGCGCAAGGCAAATAAGGAATTTTCGTTGCCTTTTATTATTTTGTATGCCACAGGCCCCACATTGAGTGGTGCGGCAGCTTTAATTGGGGGAAGATCCACAGCAGTACCAGCTGGTGCATTTTCTGGAATTTCACCGTGAAGTCCGTTAGTCGCAAAACTAAGCATTTTTCGGCGATCTACTACAAGTAGATGTACCGAATGAGCTGAACTGCTAAACGGAGTCTGTTCTAAAATGGCAAGGTTCAAGGATTGATCGAGTAGAGGCGCCAAATCTGCAGTGGTCATCAGGAGTCCATCATCGAGTAGAGTGAAGTAAGATGCGTATTCAGGATCCAGCAGCGTATAGCGGGAGTAGTTTCCTTCGAAATGGCGTACGGCGTGGCCGGGGCGGACGTCATGCGGCAACACCGTGAGCGCGCTCGTCTGCATCGCCGCGCTGAGCACGCAGAGCAGTGCCCCGCTGGCCAGCACAAAGCGTGCCATGGCTCTCTCTCCAAGCTCGATGCACTTAATCCAACATTTCCACCTAAAACAAAGATTTTTGTCAATTTAATCAGCATATGGTAATCTACCTCAGAGTTCTTTATTTTGGTCGGTCAACGATGAATGTGTTTCGTATTAAATTAATTAATAATTTCTGACCTTGGATTAAAAGTGATCGCGACAGTTCAATAGGTCAATTATGATTTAATAAATTATAAATGACTGCAACATATACTTTTTTCAATAATATACATATGTATGTTATCAACTATTTGCATGGTAAGCGCATGGCACAAATCACGCGTCTGGTGGTAGCTGTCGACTTAGCGTCGGTGGCGAAGGCGACGGCAGCGAACAGCAACGTAGGGCGGCATTCGGCACACGGCATGGGCACACATGCGGAGCTTTATTTAGGCGGCGGCGGGAACGCCGGCGTCTCGCGACCCGCCGTCGCCGCCGATCAATACCCCCGTTGCGCCGCCGCGCGACGTTTCGCAAGCCAATCTCGACTGTATGCGCTTTCTTTCACGACACACCATCAAATATTAACGTACTCGTATCACTTTACTAAAGCTCATGCTTTTTTCAGACGCCAATTCACTACATGACACACAAGTAACATGAAATTTATATCTGCATCTTATATTACTTATATTTGGAATTATCACGATTTGTCGGTTTTAAAAAATTGTAATACGAAAAATGAAATTTAAGGTTTTTAACAAGAAGGAAAATATCAAAAGCACTAAGTTGTGTCACCTATAACTCAAAGTAAGTCTGAAAACATGTAACAGGATGTAAACAAATTTAAAAAAATGATATTTTCACTTGATTCCAATATTCTTGTCCGTTAATATGCCTTTATTTTTCTAAAAAATAATTTAAAGGTTGCAATTATATTGATATATACGTACTTTACGTTAAGGTTGTAAAATATTGATATCGTAGTTTTGATGGATGACGGCAACGAGCGTCAAAGACCGCACACACGGGGCGTTAAAAAGCAACTGAGTTTGACTTGCGCGGCGCGCGCGCGTATCGAGCGCACGCAGGCCGCCGCCACCGCCGCCCTCACCACCCCGCTGCCCCGCCTGTGTCACCCCGTCCCTGCTACAGGAGCATGCATCGGTCCGCGCCCCCTAGCTTAGCTGCACTGCTTCCCCTTTCTTCTCGACTATATTTCGCGACAGGCGATCTCCGCCAATCTCCGACACACGCGATGTAATGTAATGAAACAGAGGACTTATCAATGTCTCCTTTGAGTCATAGTGCTTGAGCACTTACTTATCCTGCTAATTATATTTTATACAATATACAGTAAAAAGTCCTAATAACGTCACTCGGTGTAACATAGAACTTCTTAAAACGACCAAATTACTTAACTGGTTGGTTTTTACCTTGTTTTCTATATATTAATATATTCAGAAAAAACATTGTAATTTGGCTAGTCTTATATTAAGGTACATGGATAACAAAATAAACGTAATTAATATTCTTTATGTTCTTCCCGACTTTATTTTACATATATGCCAAATTACAGCGTGATACGTTTAATCGTTCAGGAGATATGGAGTAAGAAACATCCATCCATCTAAACTTTCGCATTTATAATATGTATTTGTAAGAGATTTAGTAAAATATTTTATTAAATAAAAAAATCACTTATTTATTGCGAAAACCATATTGTTATTATCTAATCTTATATCATTAAAATCACTAATAATAAAATTAAATGTATTAAGTTTGTTTTTAATATATGACAATTAAGTCAATTATGTCCTGTTCCGACAAAAATATGGATGCACTCATATCCCAACGGTTAAGCATGTAGATTACTTAACGCGATTGCGGATTCGATTCGGCCATGCGAGTATTACAAGTTTCGATTGATAACTTAGCACAAAATATTGTATGTTGTGATGGTTACTAAAATTATTTAATATTTTTAATTGCTATTTATCAATGAGCGATGACGAGAATGATGTTAATGGCAATGTTTTTAGAGCGTCATTGACTCAGGGTTTAAACACTTGACTTGTAATCTGCAGGTCCTATTTTCGAATCTCCCCATGTACTAACGTGTTTGTCTATTTACATACATATGTACATTTATTAGACGTCTATACGGTTAAGGAAATCATCGTAATGTAACCTGCATATCTGAGAAGAAATTAAAAAATGTGTGAAGTCAAACAACCCAGACTTGGCCAGCATGGTTGACTATGGCCTAATCACACTTAACTTACTGTAGGATCCGAGCCCCTCAGCGACATATAGGATGCCGTTGATGATGATGAATAAAGAATTTCCCCCTTGCAGTGGGATAGGATCGACACATTTTATCTTGGCGACAATCAAATGACTTATAGATTTATTTGTAGTGTTTGTGTTAATACTAAGCTTATGGGAATTTGATGAGTATTCACTATTTTATTAAAAAGCAGTAGTAGAAATACCTCTTGGTATTTTATAATTTAATTTTTTTTCGAAATAAAAAACGTCATTTTAGAAACAATTTTATATAATGAAACAGTAAGTTAGACTAGTATAAAAATAGCAAAAGCTACTGCACTGATTTTGTGACTTACAAAAATTTTAATAAATATCTTCTATCGTTATACATTTTACAATGTTAATAAGCTATGACAATGATTATATTAAGGCATGTTGCATGTGCGTCAACGATAACAATTAATGTAGTTCGTGCTAAATATTAGGAGTAAACGGCTTTGCTACTGATGCACTGTCATTATTGCCCTTATATCTGATCTCTTTGATTGTCAATTGTTTCCCTTGATGAATTCGTTGCAAATGACTTCTCATATCATAGGACCTTGAAAATGATCTGTGACATACTGGACATTGCGTTTTACCAGCATGAGAGTCTTTATGTAGAGTCAGTGAAGTTGGATGTTTGAAGCCTTTTGGACATAACTGGCACCTAAATTTTGCCAAATCAGAGTCTGAAATATAAAGAAGAATAATTATATTAAGTAAATTATTTTTCACAGTTTTACAATCTAAGTAATCTTTTTATTATACAAACCATTATTTTTGTCTGAAAGGTCTTCAGCAGATGTAGATTGTGTATCAACTTGCATCTCTTCACTTGGTAAAACAGGTCCTCTGGTTCTTGAGTTTGTACTTTCGTCAGGTGTAATTTTTTCTGTCTGCAGTTCAGTCTCTACAATAACATCTTGTGAATTTTTCTGCATGTTCACATCTGGAATGTTTTCATCCCTATTAGTCTGTACTGTGGCAAGATTGATCGGTTCATCGGTTTGAATAGGTACCATATCTTCATTTGTTCTGCTTGACTTTGCACTTAAGTCTAATGATGTATTATCAATTAACATTATAGGAGTTTTAGATGTTTCCTCTTCTGAATTATCAGTTAGACCTTTTACTTCTAGTAACTCAGCTGTTATAAGAAAAGATTCCAATTGTTCCTGAAATATGTTAACTTCACCATGATACATAAAATTGATTATTGCGTTAAGATCCTCAAACTTGACATTCCTAAATATAATCACAGGGTGCTGACACGGATTTTCTTTGAAAATCTGTTTAAAATAATTACTACAAGCCGACAATAACATTTTGTGAGCCCTGATTTTGCCACCATCACAGCATAATGTGACATCCACTAAATCATTCGAAAACCTCAATTCGTTGAATGCTTCCGTAACGTGAGACACATAGTTATTCCACCGTAAAGAAAACTGCGATGCATTATTCATAATTTATCAATAAATTCACTCAATCTTAATAAAAATCATTAAAAATTATGATAACAACAAGAACCTCAAGTCAAACCAATGACCAAATCAAACCAAAGAGTATGTTATCGAACTGACATAACAGAGTTACAGACTACTGACCTGACGGAACAACAGAAACAGATTTCAGAAATCACATTATAATGTTACTTAGTAACTTATTCTTAATTTTCTATACAAAAATTATTCTTCCCGGTAGTTAGTTGAATAAAGTTCACTTCACATACGTACAGAAAGTAATCTGAAAATCAGGATCGTAAGAGATCTAAAAGCCGCAACTTAAATCCTACATTCGTGACACCAAAAATAAAATACCTAGAGAAAATTGTTGGAAAATTCTTATTCAAGCTTATGTACTCTGTATAAAAGGATAGACAATAATGCTCTTCTATTATCCTTACCAAATCTTTACATGACATGACATTGTCATGACGACATTGACAATGACATTGTTCATTTTTGTGTGATGATTTTTGGCGATGATGGTGATGGTATTGGAGAGAGTGAATTGTGATCAAGTTCAGAATAAATAACCACGAACGCACCTAAACATTTTGTTGAAATTTTTATGTTACAAGTTTTTTTAAATACTCTCTAATTTTACTATTTGTTCTTGTATGTAACTTTTTTTAACAAAGCAATATTAAAAAGTAAGAAGTCGACTCAGTAGTATTAAGAGTAAATACAGTTCATCAAAATGGTACAAACCTTTTTGCTACTATTATATTGTCTTATTCGGTGTCTCAATTTACATCAGCTACCAGTCATTTGTCTAGCCTACTGGCGTAACAGACTCCCCCTGTCTGCATTGTCTTTTGCTGTTTAATTTGTATCTTACACTTTACTTTTTCAATTATCTTAAATCTTGATATTGACAAAATCATAAAAAACTATATTTGGAACACATGCATGAAATACTTACAAAATCATTATACATTTCAGCACGGTAGAGTAAAAGTACGAACAACTGAAGAAGAAAAGGCAAGAATAGAAAAAGAAAGACAAGAGAAAGTGAAGGTTTTTAAAAAGTTAATGCTAAAAATACAATGTAAGGTGAGTTATGATTTTATTTTTAACACTTAGCATGCTTCTAAGAATATTTTATAACAAAGTGAACTTCTAGGGTGTACATTGAATGTGTTAAAGTTAGACCAGAATCTAGTGTTACTGTTATGGTATATTAATACAATGTGATATTATGTTCCAGAGGAAAGAGAATGAGCTTGACACAGAGTTACTTGAGCTTACAGGGAAGGTTTTAATGTCTAACCCTGATATAAATACACTATGGAATATAAGGAGAGAAATATTCCTGCACATTAGGTAATATAGTTTACAAGTAGTTGCAAAAAAAATGTTTTTTGGCAGTAAACCTTATTTGTATTGTTTTATAAATTTTCAGAAAAGATTATTCGGAAGTAGAATTAACAAAAATGTATGATGATGAATTAAGCATTACAGAATATTGCTTGAAAAAAAATCCTAAATCATACTGTGCATGGCATCAAAGGATGTGGGTGTTAACAACAAGATCAGATCCAGATTGGAAAAATGAACTTGATTTGTGTAACACATATCTTAAACTTGATGAAAGAAATTGTAAGTTTGATTAAAATAATTTGAATTACATAGTTAAAATATTCAGTGCCACAGATGCAGCCTACAATTTGATGTCAATTCACAAAATCGTAGTGGCATTCAATGTGTTAAGAAGTCTTTTGGTATACATAAGCTATTTTTTTCAGCAGAAAACAATACAATCATTATAAGTTGAAGTACAATATTTCTATGTCATCTTTAAATGTAATTAATACAAAACTACAGTTTTATTTTAAAAGAACATTTTTTTCTAGTTCATACTTGGAATTATCGTCGTTTCGTAGTCAGGCAGTGTAAACCTCCATTGCAAGATGAATTTGATTACACAACAGAAAAATTACTTGACAATTTCTCTAATTATTCCGCATGGCATTACAGAAGCAAAATGCTATTACATCTATATCCAGATGTCGAAGGTAAAAAAAAAATTGCAACTGCTATTTTTTTCTGATTACCTTAATTTATTTTTATTTTTTTTTCTTAATTTTTACAGGTGGACGTCCTATACAAGATATACATCATAAGCATGAATTAAAAATGGTGATAAATGCAGCATTTACAGACCCTGATGACACAAGTGCTTGGTTCTATCAGAGATGGTTATTAGGTATTACTACAATATTTGCTACCATAAAGTATAATATTAGCTTTGAGTTTATTTAGAATGAAAAAATTAGGAAATAATTTACAATACTAAACCAATAGCCAAATGGTTGAGTGTATGGATGGATCAGGTGGTCGATAGTTCAAATCCTGACATTCAACATATGGAGAACTGATCGCCAACCTTCGTTAGTCGGAGAGGCACTTCAAGAAAAAGAAGAAGTTACATATATCCTTAATATTTTTTCTCTTTACTCTTGAGAAGTCTCTTCCAATCAATTTCACAATAGTATATGATTAAAAAAATATTTTAGGAGCTGTAAAAACTAGTATAAACCTAGTTGCGTGTGCTGTTACCGAATCTAAAATAACTGTTGCATTTAGCAAACCCGTGCCACTTGGCTATGTACAATCAAGTACACAAATTTTTATCAACAACAATGTTTTAAATGCTGAATGGATTTCCTGTTGTGGATACCAGTATGATAGTTTATGGATTCTAAAACAAAAAGTGGATTTAATTGGGGATATGGATATAAAGGTAAATTAATTTAATGTCTTATTAGCTATGATTGTAATGCTGCACTCATTGGTTAACTGGTCGCTAAGGGGCTGGTATGTGTTCTTCCAGACTATCCTCTCCATTTGTGCCAATTTTCATCAAGATCCATTGAGTTATTAATCACACTGTTTTTCTTTTCCAGGTGGAATACAAAGATGAGAATAAAGAGAGATTAGTGATTGAATGTATTAAATATAAGGAAAAAATGTATGTTGGTAAGAGTAAAATCAGCTTTGAAAATAAATATTCACAGCCTGTGATTGAAGAATTGAATGACCAACTTAAATCATGTCGGCAACTCCTCGCATTGGAACCAGACAATAAATGTAAGTTAAATTTGTTATATTTACTAACAGTCCTATGTATTTTAATACATTTTATTCGTATATATATATTTTAGAAGGCGACCCATTTTGTACTCAAAGAAATATTAGGAATACCTAATCACCTAAGTAATAACTTATTAAGAGTCTAGTCGGTCTTAGTGTCCTATGAGAAACTTTGGATTCAGTAGCAACCTTGAGGCAGGACAAGGTGGGAGACCGCCCAGGGCGCCTGTTGCGTCCCCGAAGACACTATCTTTGAAAGATTTCCCCGGACACCAACCAAGGGAGTGCCGTAAAAATCTCGCCCAGGGAGCCAGAAATGCTAAAATCGGCCCTGTTTAGATTCAGAAATATAGTCGTCTGTAGGGTTTGAAGATAACACTTAATTATTTTTTTCAGGGACTCTTTTAAGCACTACCGTCTTTTTACATTGTATTGATGCAAAATGCAATCACAAAGAAGCAATCAATAACTTGCAAATGTTAAAAAAGTTGGATCATCAAAGGGCCGGATACTATAGTGATTTGATATCTAAGTGGTGTATAGAAGAACAATTACCAATAGATTATAGCTTAAACTCTTTAGTCTTCAAACCAAAGATGTCTGATAAAATTACCTGCTTACCTTATTTGCAATACTATAGCTTTTGTGAGGAAGTTGATCTATCGAACCAGAATTTATGCTCAAATGTTTTGCCTTCGTTAATTTTGCTTCAACATTGTAAGGTAAAGTTGTTTAATACTTTTTGTATAAGGAGTGTGTTTTTATTATAACAAAAAAATGTATAAAGTAAATTTTAAAAAAACGAGAAATTTTTATATTCTACAATAGTACTTATGTCGTTTGTAAATGTATATTTTTTTTATGACAAAAATATACTTGCACAAGGTTCAACATGAAATTTTTCTTTTCAGATTTTGATTTTAAGAAACAATAAGCTTAATACATTAAAAGGTTTTCCAAATATTAATTTGGAAAAGTTAGACATACAAGGAAATGATGGGATCAATGTTGATGAAGTGGAACAATTTAAACGGGATCATAAGTTTGTTACAATATTTTAATAACTTCATCTTCGCGACTATGAAAAACACTAAAATTGTTACAAAACAAGGAAAACCCGTAAAATTATTTTTAAAATTGATAATTTAATATACTAAAAGAAAAACACAGCTACAAATTAATGTAGGTACACTATTTTTTTAATGAGTTTTTTTGATAGCAAAAAAATTCAATGGTTAGGTGTGTGTCTGGTATTTGCCTTTTCTTCTTAATGAACTCCATTCAAATGATATCTCCAAATGGAAGGTAAACTATTTTCTGCAAGGTATTAATGTTTTATATTTATATATGCATAATAGCTGATTAACTAGGTTTTTATATACTTTTTATTCTAAGCACTAATGCAATAAAATATATGGAAACAATAAAAGTTTTTTTGTCCGTGAGATGAGATCAAACGCGCATATTAATCTGACGATAAATGACTGCAGGAAATCTTAGCAATCCCACTAATTTATACGAAATATTGTATATTTCCTTTTTTAGGAGCGTTGCTACGGCTAAGAGAGAAACTTAAAAACTTTGAGGAAAAAAATTTTATGGCAAACAAAATTAAAATTAAACCCAATAAAAGCTGCAATAAATTTTATTTGTCATAATCTAATTTAAAAATTAAAACTAAAATAACAATATTGTTTCACATAAAAAGATAAATACTGAAACGATAAAATCACCAACGTTTGTTGGTGTGTATAACAACAAAAAGTTGTAACGATATAATACGAAATATCCAAATAGTCAAAAAAATCGTTTTCAAAAATTTTAACAATTTGAAGCTTAAATAAATGTTTTTGTTTAATTAATCGTTGGTTCTTGGAAACCAAAATCTCCGTGTAAGACATATTGTTTTTTTTTAAACACAGATAGTAAGTGAGACGAAGGTATGTTATTCAAGGATTTTGGTTCCAGAAAACAACAATAGGGTTACAATTCATAAAATCCACAGAAAAAAAGTCGATAATTAAATTTTTACCATGGAATGCTAACAAAGGTACTTAAAATAATACTAAAATTTAAAATATATAGGTGTCCTAACAAAGTATATTTGACGATTAATTTTCCTTTTCAAATCTACAAAACTATATCTAACGTTATCTGTATTAAAACAAAAAAAAGTCGTTGACAGTAAAGTTTACGTGCGCGCTAAAAATTTAATGTTTATACTTTCTAAACATTTAAAAAAATCTTTTAACTCTAAAATTTTCTTATCTTAAATTATTTGATGTAATTGTACCCCTTAATTTAATGGTATATTTGTACAAAGTTATAATACACAGATGTCCCATAATTATCAAAGGGTCGGGAAATAAAAATAATCAAGAGCGCATGAAGCGTTTTAAAAAAATCATTTGTTGCTTTACTGTACATTTAAGTACCTTAAAAGCGACAGTCATTTGGAAGTTATTTTGTTAAGAGGCGGAGTTGTATTTTTGTGCAAAGTTTGGTAATGCAAGGAACAAGACGTGTGTAACTTTTTTTATGTTTGTAAGTTATAAATTGACAGCCTAAACCAATTATATCACATTATATCAGCGCGAAACATAAGTTATGGACGTAGTTAATAACATTCTAAATTAGTCAAAAACGAGTTTTTACATCGCTAAAAGAAAATGTTACATTTAACATCAGTGTTTTTTTTAAATTATCGTTAGGTTAACCATTGTTTTTTATCCATTTCTGAGTCTGAAAACGTACTTATATATCATTGTGAAAAGTAAAATCATTGAAATAAAAAAAAACTCTCTGTGTACAATTTAGAAATGAAGAAAAAAGTAACTGTTCGTGAAACAAAGGTTAATAAATTAATAAATTTCATGATGTTATATCAAACAACTTATTGATATGTATCCTTACCCTATTACCCTTAGTCATCATTATTTTGTTGCTTGAGTTACATTATGGTAGTACACAAACTATCTTCATATCTATATTCGTCCCTTATTTTCTGTAAAGCAAACACCTTTCCTATGTATGTGTTGCCAGCATTAAACTATAAGTATTACTTGGATTTACCTCAGTGTCAAGTTACAAGTAATACTGAAATAAAGTCAATTCATAATATATTTTTAAATACCACTACTCTATTTCAAGAGTCGTCATGACATAATATTTAATTCATTGAGTACCTAAGTCACTTAAGACTACTATTAGCAACAGACACTACTGTTTTGTACAGATCATCACCATCCCAAAATAATCTACCACACAAGTTACAAATAATTGCTGCTTGAGGCGATTGAGAGAGTTTATGAACATCTTGTATTTGAATGGGAACTCCCGTACTTGTAACACATAAATTATGTTTAGGTGTACAAACAATGTCATCGTCTTCAGAATCACTGAAAAACTTGTCACATTTTTCATAATAGTCATCATCAGTAGGAACAGTATAATTCACATTATTTGATGAACTGCTGACATTCTGATACTGACTACATAATTCACTTACTTTCTCAGACGTCAACTTTTCTACTTCTGACCCGTTACAATTTATGCAACGTTTTGTAAAATCACTTTCATTTATCTTTATGTTAAAGTAATTCTTTATTTTTTGAAGCTTCTCTTTAGTGACATAACCATTACCAACATCTAAAATTGAACTTTGTGGGAAAGTTTTCATTGGAGTGAACTTAAGTTTAGCCAATAAAATATAGCGATTTTCAAACATAGCTTGATTAATCACATCGTGCCATAACAATGTTTCTGGTATAAGTAGTGTATCAATTCCAAAATATCTTAAATATGGCATATAATTAATTAATTTGCCTTCTACATAAAATTTTACATCGTCAACTGTATTTGTTTGTACAGTAGAGCTAGTTGGAGTTTTTTCTGAACATTTTGTCTGTTTAACACATTTTGTCTTCTTATCTATCATTGTGTCATTACATATTTCTTCAAAATTAATACCTTGTTCAAGACATTTCTCTTGTAGAAAGTTAAACAGTTCAACAAGAACATGCGCATCAATAGCAGCATATTGAATTTGTGTTTTACGTAGAGGTCTAATTTCCCAGTTAGAACGCTGTTCCGATTTACGTAGAGGATAACCAAAACATATTTCTACTAAAGAGCTCAAACTATTACCAATATTACCACTACTACTTTGCAAGCTTAAACCGGAACTAATGAGATTTTTCCACAATGTTGATAAATCAAGTAAACCTTCACCTTTTACTTTAATATTACTTAAACCTACAACAGAACCTTTAATTTGTTTCAGATCTTGTTCTAAACCAAAACCTAATTTTATAATTTCTGCATTATCAAGCAGAGATTTATTGAAATCATACCAGAAACTCGAATACTGTTGCTTATTTAGAGCTAATGTGTCTATTAAGTAAACATAGTTCTCTACAGCAATTTGTATCAATGCTATATGTGATTGTGCAGCTCCAAAGGATGGCTTCCATTCACTGTCAATGCTGACCAAATTACAGTGAGCTAAATATGTATTTGTCAGTTCATATAACATTTCAGGTGTATTTATAATTATGATTCTATCTGCTGGCAAGGATATTTCATAAAAATTTTGATTTAGGTTATCATCACCATCATCATCCCAATTCTCATTCTCACAGGAGACAGTATCCAAAGACATCTTTTTTAGTGAGTGTGGCAGCTCAGTTTCTGGTAAGTTGAAGTATTGAGACCACTTTGCAGCCTCCTTTTTATCATGATTTACTATCAAATAAACAAATTCTAGTGCTAACTCCGAATTTTCTTTCAGTGTATCTTTTATCAAATCATCCCATACAGTCAAGCTAACATTGTGATCTACATATTTTTGATGTATTAGATATCTTAATCCACCAAGAGTACGATTTTTGCATAGATTTTTACATGTTTCAATTGGGATATTAAACTTGCTGCATAAACGTCCCACAAACTTACCAAGAGGTTTATGATGTAATTTTTCATAATTAATACAAGTAATATTATACTCATAAATGTACTTTTGTACAAGGTCACGAATACTGACATTTTTATCCAAAATTTTATCTAAAAATAGTACTAATTGCAGCACTTGATTTGGACACTCTGATAGATATTCAATAATCATGTTATATTTGTCCTGGATTATGAGCGGAAACAGTAAATCTTCAACTGGTATGTCTTCATGTAACTCCATTGCTAAAACCACTTGAGAAGCTTGTTTACAATTGTCATTTTTTAACATATTTTTAACAAGTGGTAAAATAGTCTCCTTTATTGTCACAATTTTGTATGTCTTTACAATTAAGTTAAGATACTGTTGATTTCTTTGTTCGGTAGCAATTCGGAATGCTGGAAATTTTAAGCAATCATCAGGGGATGTATTACTTTTACAAGACCATTTATGTAAAGTTTCTATTATAAAGAATGGGAGGGTTTTTGGTTTACAATCTTTAGAATCTTTACATTTCGATACAAAAACAAGTGCTACTCTATACCGATCAGGGTTTGTCTCAAAAAATACTTGTAGGTGATGTTCAAGACTGGGAGATCTTTTCCATGTTAGCCAAGTAGTCGTCAGCTGATTAAACCAAGTTTGTACATTTTCGTCGAGTTGTGTGTTTAGTCCAATACTTTTTAGTGTTTCTTCTAGTGTAGGTACAACCTTCATAGATCGATTAGTGGCATGAGAAATAGTATTCATTTTTAGTTTTACTCAGATCAATTTTTTAATTTACCAAGACACCATAATTTTGTACTTTAAGAAGTAAGTTTTTCACCATTTCAGTTTTAATATTTTAAATTAATAGTTCATATCACAAACATTGATTAAACACGATGAAATTGATGAAAAATGTAAACAATAATAACAATGATAGACGATCTATAGGTTTTACTAGATCTGGATTTGCGTGTTTCAGCAAAGAGTATGTAGGTTATGTCAGTGTCATTGTCAACGCGATATGCGAAAATCCCTAGCAAAGTGAAACCATGAATTGCTTTCTAGCTTTTATTAATTGGTAACTTCAATTTTTTTTTAATTACTCTCTATCCATTATTTTCTGTCTGATAAGTTTTTTTGCTTGGATTACATTAAATAATATTAAACAGTGTTATAGAAAATTAAATGCCCAATGCCCATGCCCAAAAATGTCTTTGCCTTTTATGACTGATGAAATTGAATGACAATGTAAATTTTTGACATTCATTTCAATTCGTTTGGTGTTTTCAGAGAAATTCATAATTTGTCTAATTCGTCTATTTGTGTTGCGTTTTTAATTTTAACAGTTTTTTTAAAACATAAAATTGAAGATCCCTTACTTAAATTGACAAAGTTTTGCATTTGCAATATTATAACTAACAATGGAACTGTCTGCAGAGGGCAAAACCCCGGAGTATATGGCTCTTGCGGGCATAAAATTTAAACTTTCTTTGCCACAATTTAAAGATAATCCCCAGTTAAAAGAACAGTTGTTTGAAGGCATTAAAGCGGGTAATATGGCTCCATATTACAAAGAAGTATGTACAGATTTGGGATGGAAATTGGACCAAAATTTGTATGATGAGATGGCAAAAGAGAATCTTAGTAGGCTGTCAAAATTCCAAGAAGATGATTCGGAAACTCCAGTATGGCAAGATCGGTAATAACATAGAATGATCAATGTTATGCTATTTCCTTTTATGAAATTGAGCAATTTGAGTTAAACTTCTTTGTTACAGATTGGACTACTTGTGTTCTATCGGAGATAAAGAAGCCGCGACAGCACTGGCGACAACTAAGTATGAAGACTCCACTTTGACTACTAACAGAAGATTAGATGCCATTTTCGCTTTATTCAGGATTGCTTACTTCCATGGTTGTAATGTTAAAGATATGGGAAAAGCTATAAACAAGGTATAAACATATAAACTATTTAACTAGCAAATAGATAAGGAACAGTTGGAACTAGGCATAAGTTGTTCATCACAAAATTATGGGATGTTAGCTTTTTAGTTGAAGAGACTTCATAAAAACAACAAAATAAACAAGTCTTGATGAAAATTAAACTGTCTCTGTGTATGTTTGATATTTATATTTTTTAATTTCTAGGCACATGAATTAGTAGACAAAGGTGGAGATTGGCGATCAAGGAACAAGCTGAAGGCATATGAAGCAATTTACTGCCTTGCAGTGAGAGACTACAGTCGTGCAGCTGAATTGTTTATTGACTGTGTGTCTACATTCGAATCATACGAGTTGGTTGATTTTGGTAAGAAAACTTTGGTTACTTGAAAACAGGTTGAGTAACACTAACAATATTTATGCATCACAATGGTACATTTATTGGAAAATAATTTACTGTTTATAATATCTATATCAATAATTTTTTTTTATTTTCAGGTACAATTATTCAGTACTGTGTCCTTGCCTGTGCCTTGGCATTGGAGAGACATGCTCTTCAGGCAGCACTCCGTAGACAAGGAGCTGCAGTGCAGGCTTTGAGGTCCAGGTTCCCTGAGCTTCGGGAACTTGTGGAATCTCTACATGAGTGTCGTTACGCTGACTTTTTGAAAAGTCTTGCCTGGGTAAGTCACAAATTTATATATACCATCGAACATGGATAAGTGTGATATCTTTCCATGTTGATTGCCATATTTCTATAAGTACCACATTATTTATAGTTTATTTAAACATTTAAAGCTATTTTTTAATCCTAACCCATATGAAAATATAGTCAAAGCCTGTTATCACAACAGTAAAGACTTTATAACTAACCATGTCTAGTTATATGCACTCATTATCAGCTCACTAAACGTCTCCCCGGAGGGGCTCGGAGCCAACCCTAAGTTAAGGGTGATTAGGCCATAGTCATATATGCACTGATATCTACAAATGGATTGGCGTTGATGGTTTGTAACAGTGGTGTTGTTTTAACTAATAATATAGATAGAATGAAAATTTTAACAGTGGTAGAGCCCGCTTTAACATCTTCGCACGAATTGGCCCGGCTCACCCGGTGAAATACCACGACCACACAGAAGACAGGCGTGAAGTGGAAGCAATTCCTCGTTTCGTCTGATGAGTGTGCATCCCGGAGGCTTAGTTTAGTCCTCTTTCCCTTCCCACCAAGGTTTGTTCGTCATAAATGTTATTCTAACTGATATATTATTGTTTATTTCGTGTGTTCCAGGTGGAGACACAGATCTGTGTGGACCCGGTGTTCCGGCCCCACTACCAACATTACGTGCGTGAGGCTCGCATCAAGGCTTACGTGCAGCTGCTGCGCGCTTACCGCTCACTCAGCCTGGACAACATCGCTGATACATTCGGTGTCACCAGAGAGTTTGTGGAAGAGGAAATTTCTACGTAAGTGATAGTTAAAATGAATACTTAACTAATTAATTAGTTAAAAATTTATGCTTTTTTTGCATTATACTAGTACAGTAGGATAGTAGCACTTAAAATTAGCAATAGCATACAAAGTTAGTGTTAACTGGCGCCAGTGAGGTTTTATGAACATGCCACTACTTTCCTACTGTACTGGTATAATGTAAACACGGTATTATAGAGAATTAACATAAAACAGGCTTTCTAGTGGAGGAAATTGGATGCAGAGTTGTGCCATTCCTGTATTACAATATTTTCTTCTTCTCTCGATACTAAAGGTGGGCAGGACTACTTTAAAAAATTACTTACTAGATTTCACTTACTTTTTTTACATTGTCCTGAGACTACTACTTAGTACTTAGTAATGAAACCTTTTTTCTATTAAATGTGGAATTACATACAAGAGTTGATTAATGGTCACTTTAATATCCTAACTGTAGATAATCTAGATCTTATCTAGACTTGGCTTATTAAGGACAGAATACGGCAATAAGTGGCTTATTAATTGGAAAAGTGTCTGGTTTATTAACGTCTGAGTGGGTTTTAGAGACCAAAATCTCTGTATGTATCTTTAACAAAACAAATATATTAATACCTCTTAAATGGAGATTTTGGTCTCGGAAACTCACGGTAAAGTAGTAATTAGTGGTTTTAATCGGTTGCAACATGATTCAACCGTATGGTTTGTATGTATTAGGTTCACGGCAGCGGGTCGTCTGCAGTGTCGTATTGACGCGGTTGCGGGGTGTGTGGTGACGGGTGCGGGGCGCGGCGCTGACGCCGACCGCTCACACCTCTACCAGGCAACCATCCGAGAGGGCGATCTGCTGCTCAATAGAGTCAAGAAACTAGCAAGCGTTATCAACTTTTAAACGAAGAGCGAATTGTTCTCATTTAGCATCTTTGTGTCGATATTTGATTCGCTAAATATTGTAATTTTTATGAATTAAATGATACTGAAATTAAACTGTTTTATAATTTTCACCCCTTTTGTTTTGCAATCAACCCTTCAATATTCCAGAATGTTCTAATGTTCTTAACTCTGTTTCATTTGAAAAGTGTAGTTATAGCGTTATACGCTATAACGTTTTATTAACATTATTATGTGCGAAAAATGTCAAAATAAAAGGGAAGGTAAGGCAAATGGATAACAAAAAAGAAAAGAATTATTAGTATAATTGTTTTTTTTTAAATAATTTGAATACTTTTTGGACATTTACATAAACATTTAATAATTTACAATGATTATTTATAGTGACATGACATGACACATCATACTGATGGCTAAGGCTACTCTAGTCTATTTGCAACTTGTAAACCAATAACTCGTAGGTGCTATGACAATTTAATCTAGACAACTAAATTGTTGCGTGCGGCCTAACGCCAACAAGCGCTTCTTTAATACTAAGAGTGTATGCATGATTTATGTTATATAATAAATAATTTATTTAGGACATTTATACACAGATGCCTAGGCTTCAAATATAAAACATTCATTTTTCATTCACTCCGAATGAACGAAAACCATTATAAAACTTATTAAAATATTGACCATTATTTTGTAAGCATCGATAAAATGCACATTTGGAAAATAATGCATTTGGGAACATCTCGATCATTCAGTCTGTGGTGATGATTTTGGAAAATGATTACTTACAGTAACAAATAAACATTTAAAGTCTGTTAAAACCAGTCGCTCACATATTTTACAAAGATATGTTGAAGTATTCTAAAGCATACATAATAGCTATGACTCTAAATACTTATAACTATGTAGACCTCAAATGCAAATACTTTTTTAAAATTTACATGATATGAATATGTCATTAACCTCTGTTACAATAGTTAAAAGTAGTTGAATACCTAGTGTGACATTACATTACTTTGATTTCTTTTAATACATGGATTTAATAATTTCCTTTACAATAGTTTTATAACCAAATAATACATTGCTTAAAGAAATTTTGCAATCTCTGAATTGGACTACAGTTTACATAATATTTAAGTCGAATTATTTTCGTCTATGAGATAAAGAGACAAGTTGGAATGTGGTATAAGATGGAAATCATGCATATCGCACTCCAGTTGCAATGTATAAATATAAAATTAATTATCTTTTATTCTGCATTTTAACTATTCGTTTCTTCACTACTATCATACATTTTATATACATTTAAAGTTAGATAGATTTATGAAATTAATTTTTGGGATAATTTATAATTACTTTTGATGTTGCATAGCACATGCGACCGGCGACAAGGCGCGGCCGCTGCATGTGCGCTATCACAGAGTAATGACATAAACGTGGGACTCAGCGAGCCCCCGATTGCCCCAGGCCCGTACTCGTGCGTATAACTTACTTAATATTAATACTAGGCGTTATAACACGTGGAATAACAACTCGTTACATGGCGCTATGATCGGCACATCTTACGCTAACAACCGACACGCATCTTGTGTCGTTACTTTATCAGTCCTCGGCTCAACATACTGCTACATCTTTGTACATAAGGATTGACACGTCGTTCGCCGGGCGAACCATCCGCACTCGATACCGACGAAGTCCCACCGCTAGTCTGCCGTGGATTCGCTCCCGATGTCATTAACGCTGGGTTGCAATGGAATGTGTATAATATTTCGAATATTGCGCATTTATACGGTGAGCCCTTCAGTACGCGCGGGTGGCGGCAAGGAGGCGAGTGGGTGAGGGTGCGGGTGATGCGGTGCGGGCGGCGAGGGTTGCGCGGAGGGCGGCTGCAGCGGCGCATGCGCACCCGGCGAGCGGTAGTGGTCACCGTCGTCGCGCATCTGTCGACTGCGCTCAGCGAGCTCGCGGCCGCGCTCCGCCAACTCGCGCATCGCCGCCTGCCGCTCGTCGCCGCCCTCCAGCGAGGGTGGCCTCTCTAGAGGGGATGCGGCGCCCGGCCGCCCACCGCCGAACGCGCCGAACCCGAGCAACCCGGGGAACTTGCCGGCGACGCCGTTCTGCCCGGCACTTTGCTGAATCACTGATATCTCGTTCAGCTGTGAAAAATTACGTCATTAAAAATTGATTTTCTCAAAGAAAGACTCACTTAAGTTTCATATTCATTCCATTCAATGGAACGAGGTAAAAAGTTAAATGTACCTTCTGCTGCATGCCATTGAGGAAGGGCGCGTGAAGGTAAGGGTAGAATAGGTCCGGGCGACGCAGCAGGTCGTGCGGCTCGGCCAGCGGGCGCGGTGGCAGCTCCAGCGACATTCGCCGTCCGCGCCGCGACGCACCGCCGCTCCACATGTGTGTGCCCATGTGCACCTGCACCACACAAACACGTATACATATACTCGCTGTTCATATTCCAATCAGCTTCAACGTTATTTAATGTAATTACATACATTAGCGGAATCGTGGAAAAAAATAACAAAGATTAAAAAAAATCCTGAATACTTTTTTATTCAATCGAAGTGTACCTTAAGATTTCCTTTGGTAGTGAAGGCCTTCTGGCAGACAGCACAGCGGAAGGGTTTATCTCCCGTGTGAGTGCGCATGTGTATCTGCAGCGCTGACGACGACGAGAAGTTCTTGCGGCACACGCCGCACAGGTGCTTCGACGAAGCGGATGACGGAGGGTGTGTTGGCGTGCTCGACACTGTCAATGTACATATTGCTGGTCATTTTCACTGTATCACACGTATACAAAATATATTCCCATTCTGATCGGAAGACAGAAGTACCAAAACTTATTTCTGTCCTCCAAATGTTTTGATTTTTCATAAAGGAGTTACGACTTTAGAAACTCAGGGCAATTATACTTGACTAAGTCAAAGCAATAGTTCCAAATGTAGGACTGAGTGTATGCGCCGAACTTTACTTGGTTAAACTGTTTACTTAATTCCCGGCCACATCAACACTATTGACAGCTGTTAATAACCAGAGTACATAGCGATAAGTAGTCTTTAACTTAACTTACATATATAACATTCTTTGACTAATAAAATGTGTTGACAGAAGATACTTATGATCCCGTGTTTTTTAAAGTGTTTTTCTCTTAGTAAGTATTGCAGCTGCCAATTCCGTCAACAAACATAACAACAAGACAATTTATAGTTTTTAATTTAAACTTTTTTATTCACATGACACCCTCTTTAATTACTGAAGTATAATTAAATGAAACGTGGCAATCGAGCGGTCCTGAGTATGGCGGCTATAGCATGACAGATTAACTAGATTAAGGTTTGCGTTGATACTTATTCCATGTTTGTAAGCGCATGAAGCCACAAACAATTCATTTAATTAGACACTTGCATTTTCATATGTCAGTTAAACAGGTCCTTAAATTCAATAAAATGCCTTAGTAGTTTTAAGTTTGGTCTTACCCGTAGGCCGTTTGGGCAGCGGAGGCATGTCGATGGGCGGGGCGTGCGTCATGGGCGGCGGCGGGTGCGCGGGCGGGGATCTCTTGAGGTCCATCTTGTCGGGCGACGAGCGTCTATCCGGACTGGGGTCCCGAGTGTCTTCGTTAGGTCCCCCAGGCCCGTTGCTGCCTTTGTCGAAGCCGGGTGGCATGTCGCGAATTTTGTGCGTCAGCATGTGTTGCTTCATGTTACCCTGCAGAAGATTAAGAATTAAATGAATACAAAGTTTTTAATTTTATAATTGTGTATAATATCTGTATGTAATGTAACTGCTGTACTATGCTTCTCATACCTAGTAGTATATTTGCTTTAAATGATTAATAATATTCATATACCAGTCACAACATAGTAGTAAAGGAATAACAGTACAGTTTGTTTTATTTAAGAAATAATGTAGTTTGGTTTTATTCTAATTGTATATCATATATCTAACGTGTACTATGCACTTTGTAGTTTCTAAGCCCTAAATGGATTAAACAGTTACGAGTATGGGCGGCGGAACAATAGAGATACGAATGAGTGTATTGATTCTAGAATTATGTTTACAAATCGTCTATAGATTAGATGTGTACTGTATTGAGCACCGCCCACGTCCGATCTGTTCGGTGTAAGTGTGTGAGTTCACGCGCAGGCGTCACTCTCGCATACCGGGTAGACGAAGGCGTTCCAGAGGTCCAAAGCAGTGGCGTGCGGTGGGCGGGGTGGGCGCGCGCGCCGTCCGCACTGGCAACCGCCGCCACTGCTCTGGAACCACAAAAACGCGAAAGCTTAACACACGCGCCACGCACCACGCGCACAACATACATAGCATGCGGTGTTTGTGTTCGGCGGTATATCAACTGTTAACAATATGTCACATAAAAATAGTTCCAATTATTGATTTATTAACTGGACAACAGTAATTCGATTATAAATTTAATTATACGTATTGTTAATATAAAATATATATATATTTTATTATAAAAATAAATCGATGTAAGATTGTTCAATTCTAGAATACCACACAATTATAAAAATCAAGTATTATATACACGAATCATTAATAATTTTTGAAGGGAGAATTCGAAATTTAGTTTTTACAAAACCTATTACATAACTACCATGAAAGTTCTCAAACGGTTAAATTGATGGTACATAATTAGCTGACTAAATTTGTGAGTTATAGATAAGACTGGTGATTTATTAATATTACAGCCGAGGTCATAACTAAAGCTTTACTGGGACACTGGAAGTGCGATATCTGTTAAGTAGGCGATTCGTATGCGTTGTCGATGTTTTTATTTTTATTACCATACATAGTTTACGCAATATTAAAAACATATATTTGTCAATATTATGATATATGAGTACAAGCTAAAAAAAATGTTCAAATTGAAAAACAATAAGTTTTTTGACTTAGCAAATTAATAGACACATAATAGATGCAAGTTGTTTTTAGAAGCAATTTTGAATGATGACCTTTAACTGTGTGTAGAATAACTAGATAGATGCAAGACAGCTCTGAAGATCAGCTGAAGGAAGCCATAGAGTACAGACATTTCATAAACAATCGAAATAGCATAGACTGATTATCTTTTTGGAAAGTAGACATGATACGTTTATAGTTTCCAGTTAATTTGCATTATAGTATAGCGTTATTAATTTAGATAATTTCTCAATAAGTTGTAGCTAAATTAAGGTTTTAATATTTTTTAAAGGACAATACTTTAAAAGGCTATGTAATTATTACCGTTTAACATTCTATAAAATTAATTTTGCGAAAAAACAATCGAGGTGCGAAACGAATTAAATTTTATGTAATTCAAAATGTATTATATAAATTTTACGTTCGTTTAAATTTTTAAATAAGGCCAGTACGATCTCAGTTCTTTGGTTCAAATTGCAACTTATCGAAAATGATTATTGCCTTGTGTGTTGCCATTTGTAAAGTTTTTGCTTTTTTTATTTTTATCACAACCTTATTATAAGTTAATAATGTGTCATGAATTTTAATTCATTGGATATATAATTGAGAAAAATTAAATTAAATTGCCTTTTTTGTCGTTAATTTACAAATAGCGTTTTATTTTTACGCACAAAGTTCTATAAATAGCACTTAAAAGCTTTATTTGTTGATAACAATTTGATAAATTAAAAACAATTTAATGACATAAACACATACAGGTATAAATTTATAAGAAAAGTATTGCAAAAACTTATTCGGAAATGGCGAGTGTCCTTTGCCCTAACATATACATGACAACAATACTGTCCATCCGATTAATTACTATATAAATTGAAGAACAATAAGTATTAGTTGTCTGCATCTTTCACTCCTTAAATACAGGTTAAGGAGCCATGGCGCTATCGATGTTGTGTGAGTATACAATAAAGAATTTATTATTTTTTAATATTATAAAAATATAGTTTTCGCTTAACTGGCAAGTATATTGAAACATTTCACTCTATACTTAAAAAAAATCGGCTTACAATAATTTAAATTTAACAATCTTACGAATATTATTCCAATGTTTAGATGGATGGATGTTTGTTATAGGAAGATTGAAAGAACACATTGGCTAATAATTAAGTTTTTTTAAAACCGCGCGGACGGAGTCACGGACAATAGCTAGTATTTTATAAAAAGCTGATTCATACTAAATAGTATGAAAGCAACTAGTCAGCGTATCTTTACGTGTGAACATATTTAAAGGTAGGCATCTGAAACAGGTTTCGATGGGACTTATTTCTCGCTAAGCTTCGATGCGCTTGTTCTTTGGCCGTTTTAAATGTTTGCATTTTAATGCGATTCATTCGAAATGCTTTATATCGAGTTATAATGAATATAGTTTAACTAAATTATGGAAAAATAATCAAGTTGTTTCTTTAGATAAAACTTTAAGTAGCAGTGAAAGTAAAATTGATGTATTTCCATTGCTAATAATAGATAACCTCTCTATGGTCACGTTATTGAAATATTAATGAGGTGGTCACAAAAATAACTAAACATATAAATTAAATTAATATAAAATGATTTAATATACACCGGTGTAGGTCGTCGCGTCCAATTGTTGTCAATTTAAAAATATAGCGAAGGAATTTTTAATTTTAAACTTACTAATATAATACCTAAATGCGAATGTTTACATAGAATGTATGTTATCACGTACTTCCAGAACTGAACGGATCAGGACGAAATTTTTAACAACAATAGATTACAGCCTAGCGTTTAGGTTAAATAAGTTTATTAATTTAACCCTAAACAGACGGAGTCGCGGGCGATAGCTAGTATTTTATAAATGTTAGTGAGAAAAATTTTCAACATTTAGCGAGCCGCTAATGAGCACGAGTATGTGACATACAAAAGACAATTGAAAGCTACATATCTTTGCTTAACATTTATCTGCTGGTTTATAAAGACGTATGAACACCTTTCTGTGTATACGCAATAAATTAGACTTGTATTATTCGTATACTAGCAGTCGCCGGCGACTCCGTTCGCGCGGAATTAAAAAAAACATAATTAGTAGCCTATGTATTCTTCCAGACTGCGTGCTATATGTATACCAAATATCATCGAGATCCGTTCAGCCGTTCTGGTGATACTTTCAAACAAACATCCATCCATTCATCCATCCATCCATCCAAACATTCGCATTTACAATATTAGTATAATAAGTTGTCTATTGAGTGAAACTAAATTCAGAAGTCAATAAACTATTGGAATTGCTCACATTTTGTCGTTTGAACTTTAGTGGCCGGCGTTGTTGTACTCGTGTTGTACGTATATTGTATATTTAAATGCGGCTGTAACTGTGTTGACTGTGCTACAAGGTCTTACACACTATTCTTACATAAATATACTGTTTTTGTACACTTAAATTATACAATAAAACTTCTATCCATCCTGTTGTTTTGTACAATTATGTTAAAGAGTAAAACCTTGATCCAGTGGTAGATTTAGGTATACCTATTATAAAACTTCGTAAAGTAACTCTTCGTATAATTATCTTACTAATATAATCATCATCATCATCATCATCATCAGCTCACTATACGTCCCCACCGAGGGGCACGGAGCCTACCCTAAGTTGAGGGTGATTAGGCCATAGTCAACCACGCTGGCCAAGTGCGGGTTGGTTGACTTCACACATATCTTTGAATTTCTTCTCAGATATGTGCAGGTTGCATCACGATGTTTTCCTTCACCGTAAGAACGTCGGATAAATGTACATATGTAAATCGGAAATCGAAAAAACACATTGGTACATGGCGGGATTCGAACCCAGGACCTGCAAATTGCAAGTCAAGGGCTTGACCACTGAGCCACCGACGCTCCACTAATATAATATATGCGAATATTTAGATGGATGAATGATTGTTTGGAAGATATCTCCGGAACGGCTCAGTTGATTTTGATGAAATTTAGCACACATGTAGATCATAGTCTGGAATAAGACATAGGATACTTTTAGACTTTATTAGTTAGAATTCTATGGTGCGGTGACGTGCTTTCGTTACAAAGTCCAGTGTCAGAATGAATAGTGAGGGGACATAAACGTCGACATTTTAGTAAGGATAGTGTTGTGTCAATACACTGGCACATTTTAGGATTTTCTTTCTAACACTACTTGTTAATTTTTTTTTAAATCCGCGCGTACGGAGGTACAGCTATTTATACATAAGTCATAAGTTTTAAGATACTCCGAATAAATCAACAGGGCAAATAAGAGTTCCAGAGTCGTCTTTGATGAGGCGAGTGGTTGCTGCGACTCTATGTATCTTCAAATGAATATATATATTTTTAATAAATTAATCTACTATATACTTCCAATAATTTATTAGTACTATAATTTCTAATTCAGTTTGTTACAATTTTTTGAAACGTTTTTTTGTTTTAAACGCGATATCTTCCAGTTAATCAATTTATGAAGAGAATTGCCCCTTCGAATGTGTACTCGCTAAATACTAATAGATATAACATATAGAATCAGAATATATCTAGGTTGTAGTACCTTTCTAAAATGATGTACTATAATAGTATGAAGCAATGTTACGTACGTTCCGAGTAGATATAAAATGTTTATTGACCTCTCTCCTTTGTAAGATGAAGGGTGTAATTAAGTAGATAAGGATAAGCACGACATGAACACCTACCAAAGTTATAAATATGTGCAAAGTTAAGCTTAAGAGAGTATTCGCACGGGCGATTTTAACGCATTAAAACTCGGCGTTGGGGGTTCTCGAACGTTAAAATTTAAAATCACTCTTGTTTCTTTCATCCAGTGCTTAATATGCAACAATGAGATACAAAAACATCGCGTTTTAAAAAGCGCTGCATGAGTACATAGAAACGCATTTGTACTTTTTGAACGGTTTTTTGACGCGCGTTAAAATAGCGACCGTGCGAATGTGAGCTTAGACTTAGGTTGTAGCACATCCTATGGTTAATAAGTTACGTTACTAACATTATAATATTGTTACGTTATATCTATATGTATGTATTTCTTGTCCATTACCTTGTAACGACTTAATCATATCTTTTAAATCCATTAAAAATTTTATAATAACATTAAAAGTTATGTAAAATTTTAACGACAATTTATGTATTTTGATATTATTTGTTTTAAAACTTTAATCTCAGAAGCTAATTTAATGTAATGCATTTGCTTAATATTTTAAGAATTATTGTGTCATTATGAAATTAAACTTTATGATATTTTTGTATAATTCTTCGAATACTTTCTCTCGACCGGGCCGGTAAAGTTCACGTTAAAATAACAAGTGGAAACTTAAATTATAAGACGTTAAAGTGGACATACGACACGCATTGCTTGAGTGATTTGTGAGTTATTTAGACTTTTAGGTCAGTGCGTATGTAAATCGGAGATATGTAGATATCGACTTATTTGTAATTAAATGACGGCCTACACCCACGAAGCTTAATTAAACAAAAGTACGACGCGAGGTAACAGAAATTACTTTAAACTTCAAAACGGCGCCGTCGTAAATAATGTGTATTTTATTGATAAGACCGCACGGACACTTTCAGAAACATACGAAAAATGTTACTTTGTCGAGCATAAATAATTTTTTTATGACGCGAGGCGTAGGTAAAGGCTCAAGGATTTATAAGCAATAAATATTTTACGACATGAATTAATATTCCGATCGTTTTGTGTGACGTTGTTTTTATGAGTTATCATTTTAGTGGCGCGGAGATGGACCGAAGCTCGGCGCACCGGCGCACGGCGACTGTGCTGCCCTCTGCCCGCTGCCCGCTCATTATAAAACTCGAATCATCATAAAAATAAAAACACTCTTTTAACAACGTTTATTTATTGAATATAACATTGAATTAATTTCCTTAAGTAGAGCTCGAATTGCTTTATTATTTAAATATAAATTATGATTATAAGTAGCGGCGTTCTTCGCGCTCGTTTATGGTCAAAGTAATTCTTTTATTTTAATGCCAAAATATATTTTGGTTGTACTATAAAAATGCGTACTTTAATGTTACTATCTTATCTTCTTCCATCTTGCTAATATTATGCGAATGTTTGCACGAATGGATGGATGGATGTTTGTTAAAAGGTATCCCTAGAACAGCTACATGGATCACGCTGAAATTTAGAATAGATGGAGAACCTAGTCTGGAAGAACACAAAGGCTACTAAGTTGTTTCTTTAATTCCGCGCGGACGGAGTCGCGGCGGACAGCTAGTAACTATATTAAAAAGTAAACTGAACCTTGCAATACAGGAATATTTCTTAATTAAAAAGAAACAATCAGACGACTTTTGGTAGTATTTAAATATATTAATATAAATTAATCATATTAAGAGGGCTACTGTATTACTGCTCATTTTTGAATCGAAATTCCAATCTAATTTAACATGCCATTTGTGACAATAGCTATTTAGTGAATTTTGTGTTAAAAATCAAATAATTTGGCAAGAGTCACCTACACGATTCGAACAAAAATAAATTAATTATCGACGTGACCTTAGAAAAATAATCAACATGTCTTTTAAACACGATAACAATGACAATTATTTCTACACATTATTTCGTCTCGAAAAAAAAATTACTCCGATTACGTGATTACATGAATACAACAGAACTTTATAAAATTATTTTTATATATCCAACTTAATGAACGGTAAATAAGCTATATCTAATTATAGCGGCGTTTTATATAGCCATTAAAGCTAAATAAAAAGCTAGAAATCTAGCTAAATAGATAGATAAATATCTATCTCTTATCATATCTATGTGGAAGTTAAGCTTTATTACGAAATTCATGACGTTCTCGTCCGAAATATCATTAATAAGAAATGTAATGGTTGCCTCATACCAACAAACCACATTTGTGTAAAATTACAACCTCGATATACCGAGATTTACAACCTAGATTTACCGGGAAGGTCTTGAGTAAGTTTTTGAGAGAAGTTGATTAAATCACAAGTACGACGCCTACAAGTTTGCAAAGTTGGTCGTCAATTAGTGTGTAAGTCGACGGTGGCTTGGATGTGCCGCTGGAAGACAACGGCTGAACTAATGCGACGCGGATGGGGGTACAGGCCGGGGGAAGAGGGGGCGCGTCGACTGGAGACTTGTAATTACTGCTTGCAAAATTAATGCACTGAAACTTGGATGAAATGAAACCAGAGCATGAAGTTAGCTGCAGAGCGCTGAGCGCTGCCAAGTCGCTGCATTCTCTGCTCGCTGCTGCCCGCGTTGCCGGTGAACTTGTGACTTAGACGTGATGTCGTTTGATTTAAGTCGCGAGATGTCGCTCCGAGAATTACCGCTCTAATATAGTGTTATAAACAACGCTACGTAATGTTGTTTATAGCCGTTATATACTGCTATCTTGTTCGTTTATCTTGTTAATATTTCACGTTTTTATTTCATCGTTTATCGCCAATTACAATGGCGCAGTCGTTGCGGTCGAAGCGAGTGTGACAATTAGATGGAACGTCATTAAAGTGTAGCGATGTGTCGCTATTTGTGTAACAATAAAGTAAAAACTGGCGACGCGCCAACACTTTCAATCGCAGCCACGCAGCAAGGTGCGCGCCTCGCTATGACATACCGATATCGACGCACGGTGCGCGTTAAGTCCTTTAATTAAATCATGGTTTCTACTCTGAACAATATAACATATGGTATTTTATCTATCCAATGCAAGGACCAACGAGAATATTTATACTATTCAATATACAATTTATGAAATGCAACATACCTTTGTGGAGAATCCTCGGTCGCAGACTGTGCACTTAAAGGGCCGCTCTTTGGTGTGGCTGCGGTAATGGATCTCGAGCGCGGAGTTGCAGGCGAATGTCTTGTAGCAGATGTTACACGTCGTGTTGCCGCGCACTGCATACAAATAAATCCACTGTTCAATGTCACTATTACTGTCCGAACTCGCGGAGTGTCTCATGGAAGCGGTGATTAGGGCATTATCTTGATAAGAGCATGTAATTGAGTACTTTCAGCGTGTTATCGAGCGCCCGGCGAGACGGTTATTGCTAGTTTGTATTAAAAGGATATATCAGGGAGGGACGGATGGTCGGTCGACCGGGGCGGACGTGCTGACAACATCCCGCTATCGCATACCTGCGGGAGGGAACGCGAGGCCAAGCGGGCTGAAGGGCGATCCGCCGAGAGCTCCGAGCGCGGCGAGGGGCGTAGGGTGCGCGGGGTGCGCGATGTGCGCGAGGTGGTCATGTGGCGAGGCCGGCGGCGAGCGCTGCGCGGCCCGCGGCGAGCACAGCGACTGCGACAGCGACAGCGACGAAGGCGAGGCCGAGGGCGAGGGCGATGGCGGCGACGCGCGCGCGCTGCGCCCGCTCTCCGAACCTGTCGCCGATGGGAGGGAAGCCGTTGTTGTGATGGTTTTTACTTCGCATTCGGACGCCGAGGCGCAGACGGAGAGCGGCGAAGTTCGACGATCCTTCATGTCTGAGTCGTCGTCGAACTCCCGCGCATGAGGCGCGCGCGCGTCCCGGCCGCTCTCGTCGTCGGTTCCGCGGGAGTCCGCCCGTCGGTCGCCGGGAGTGGATGGAGTGGGAAAAAGGGGGGGTGGGAAAGGTCGGTACGGTAGAAACTCTGCAGTGTCAGAAGAATTGCTGAATTGAGGAAAATAGTTAACTTCGATAGTGCGCGCCTGTTCATAAGGGATATTACCTCGTTCACTGGTATGAAGTCTAATATGGTGATGTAATATCGTAGGGTCTGAAAATCTTTTGTGACAGACTGGGCACTGGTGCAACATTTGTGACGGAGGCTTTATACGATGTACGCCCATGTGAGTTTTTAAATTTCCTTTGGTTGTGAAAGCGCGACCGCAGAGTTTGCATCGGAACGGACGCTCGCCGGTGTGCGTGCGATAGTGCATTTGTAAGGCACTTTTGCACGAGAGGACTCTATGACACACTATGCATTCGTTTGGATCGGATACCTTATTATCTATGTTATCGACTAATTGTTGCAATTTAGAAGTTTCAGAAGTTTTCGTAATTTCTATCAAACTTTCCCATGAGTTGTCGTTGCTTCCCGGTCGCGGCAGTAATGAATTGTAGAATATGGGATCGCGAGATAAATCGGGTTCGACAATGCCGTGAGGTACATTGTGAAAAGGTGTAATACTACCGGAGGAGACACTGCTCGGAGGGGAATGAGGGAACAAGGGAAACGAAGGAAAAGTACGTAGTCCCGTAGCTATTGAAATTGGTCCAGATATCGGTGAATTCTTACTTGAGAGATTTTCCGGCTGATCTGGATCGGGCTTGACGTGCGGGCTTTCCCTGCCGATCTGGTCTTCGTTGCTGTACTTTGAGTCCATGCTGCAATCATCGTACGGGGACGTTGACGGGTATCGGTCTTGTTCCGCATCTTGACCAGCTTCATTTTCTTCGGGTTCTCGCTTTGGGGACACTCGATCGTTGTCCTCGTAACTCGACTCGCGCTGACAATCGTCGTCTTGCGGTTCCGATTTGAATATGTCGGGCGCACGGGGTGGGCTCGACGCTGAAGGTTTGCTGAGATCGGCCGGAGCATCTTGTTCTTCTCGCATTGCGAACAGTGGATGCGGGGGTAAAGGTTTGTCGCCTAGCGGGCGCGGCGGCAGTAAGTCGTGGTGCGGTGGTCTATATAACGGCAAGCTTGGCGGAAAAGGTGCTGGTGCACCCGGAGGGAATTGAAGTGGATGGGGTGGCATTCCGGGAATCGGCCCCGGCGACAGCTGTGCTAATAGCGGAGGATGGTACTTATCCAAATGTTCCGGTATCGGATTAGGATTCATTTTCACATGCGGAAATTTCGCAGTATGTCTTTGGAAATGAACTTTTAAATTGCCTTTGGTTGTAAATCGAGATCCACAAACGTTACATTTAAATGGTCTTTCACCTGTATGCGATCGAATGTGGATTTGCAGCGCAGAGTCACTGCCGAAAACCTTCCCGCAGTACCGGCATCGATGTTTGAAGAAAGGTTCGTTTCGCCCTCCAGATTTTCCGTCGTACGGCGACATCTTTCCGGATTTCCGGAAAGCGAGCTCGTCGGCGAGGTTGTTGGCTAGCAGGCCTTGAGATGCGTTGTCGAGAACTTCTTGCGCTCGCTTTTGTAGCATTTCAAGAGTATTTGGCTCATTTAAGGATGGCGGTGGATCGTTGTTCGTAATGATCGAAGACGCTAACGATGACGATATGGAGCTATAGGGCGGATGAGTCATCATTGGCGGCGACGAGGTCGGGAGCTTGGGAACGGTGATCGGTTCCGGTCTAGGCGTAAGGTGACCATGGGTTGACGGCAAGGTTTGGCTCGTAGGGGGAGTGGGTACGGGGGAGGGCTCCCGCGGCGGACGCGGCGGCGACGGCGAGGGGGCCGGCGGAGCAGGTGTGGCGGGCTCAGGCTCGTGGGGCGGTGGGCTCGGGCGCTGCTCATCTTTCCGTCGCGTTAGTGACAGTTGGTTCTGTAGTTGACGTATCAGTTGCAGTTGAAACACTTGTTGGTGCTGCAGTGTAAACAATGTACTCTGCAGAACGGCAAGTTCGTGCAATGCCGCTTCATTATCTGCATTATTTGCCATCGCGGTCGCGGCGAATTGAGCGACGGCTACTTTCGTGTTCTGTAAGGCTTCGAGCGTTACATGACCGGCCACCGGGAAAGGCAGTCCTACGGGCGGGACGTCGGCCTCCGGTACTTCCGCTTCACCGTCATCGAGGCTGTTATTATTTTCAGCGTCTTGGCGATGCCTTCGTACTTGCTCTAACCGTTTATTAGGCCCGTCCATCTCCTCATCGCCCGAAACGACCATTTCTTCGGGATCGGAGTGCATTCTCTCCTCGCCCATTTGAATTGCCTTCGCATCGCAAAGTCTTTTGTGATACAGGAATTCATGTAGATTCTCGAATTGTTCCTGGCAGCGCGGGCACATGTGTGCTTCGGGTTGATGTCTCGCCTCCTCGGGTAAGACATTGTTAATTTCCTCCTCTGAACAAGAGCCGGAGCTTTCACCTGGAACAATGCAATACTTTGTTATGAGCTGGAAGATGCGTTTCATTTTGTATATTATTATTAGTTTTGTGTATAGTGTTGATCTGTATTTAAATATGTGTTTAAGTGTATCCCTATCTATGAAAATATGGTAATATAACAGGATGAATGATAAAGAAGATCTTTTTTACTACATTGTACATAATGCAAATCTTTCATTTACTATGATGGTATTGGATCTCAACGTAAGAACATTGTTATGACTGCATGATTTAAGCTAAGATACGTTCGAAATACTAGTGACTTTGCGTAAGTAATTGAAGCGATCAGTTTAAAATCTAATTGGATTTCGAATTATCAGTTAACGAATAAGTTTGAAGAATCGCCACTTATAAGAATTTTTTCCCATAAATAATTGAGGAACAATAATAATTGTTTTTATCAATCGTGAACGACCTAAAAATATTTGGATTAGTGTAAAATTCAACAAGTTGTTGTAATATACAATAATTAAAAAACATATATTTTTATTATTAAATTTATGTCATATATAATTTTGGATTCTTTCGGGCATCTAGACGTTAATTAATTAATGCTTTATATTATACAGTAATATAGTATTTGCTACTCAACAACAGATGTCGCTAGTTGTCGGTTATCGAATGTGCGGAATGATTCACGTTTCTATATTTAAAACAAACGTTTTTATGCTGAATTCTGAGATAACTATGACATTGTGTATCATTTAATTTCCTATTCTCAATATAATAGTTATACATAGCAGCATCAAATAATAGTTGGCATGAAATTTTCAATTCAAAACAACAATATGACTTTTTCTCTATGGAAACAAGTAAACTAAAAAAATATGATGTTGGGACTTTCAAAAGTAGAGTGAATAGGCAGTTACTAAGCTAGCGCGTACCATCTTTCGACCAAATCTCCACTAACACCGGGTGGGATCGTGTTCAAGCGCTAGCTTATAAAACGTAAAAAAAAAACAAAAGCGATCAGTTCTTTTGCCTATCGAATTGAATTAAATAAAATAAGCACTCAAGTTTTTTAATATTGCTAAGGTAGACAGAGACAGTATACGCTATTGGCGTTTCTAGTGAGCTTATTAGGTACGCGACGTGACAAGGGATATGCTTGTCACATTAAATTGAGCACAAACGTTAGTAAGTGATTTTTGTACGTGTTAAAAGATATTTTATTATACGTTGTTTTTTTGTTATAAAAATGAATAAACATTCAAATCAAGTTATGAACAACAACATCGAAATATAATATTTAAATGAAATAATGAGTTTTATAGTAACGAATTACGAGGGAAATTAATTTAGTTAAATTAATTAAAATAATTGATTTTAGAACCGAATTACCTCAAAAAAGAAAAAAAAACATTGAAATGACTATTAGTAGTGTTTTTTTTTAATGTGAATTAATCATAACAAGAGGGCTAGTATTTTTCTGTTCATTTTTCGAATCGAAAGTTCAATCTAATTAAACATGCCATTTATAACAATAGCTATTTACTGAATTTTATGTTAAAAATCAAATCATTTGGCAAGAGTCACCTACACGATTTGAACAAAAATAAATTAATTATCGATGTTACCTTAGAATTATAATCAACATGTCTTTTAAACTCGATAACAATGACAATTATATCTATAAATTATTTCGTTTCGAAAAAAAAATACACTGATTACGAGTTTACATAGATACAAGAAATTTTATAAAATTACTTTTATACATCTAACTATATAAACGGTAAGCGATTAATAAATAAGCTATCTAATTAAAGCGGCGATGTAAATAGCCATTACTGTTTTAGTTATTTCTGGAAGATATTTTGATACGATGAGAAAGATATCCGCTAAGCATTTCAAATATATCGATATTGTTTTTTTGTAAACCTCTATACACGCGTACAATATTTTAATTAATATCTCCCTATCCTTGAAAAAAGAAATATAATAAACAGACCGATAATTACACTTATGTTTATTTGTATCAAAACACGAGACAGAATGATAACTTTACCTATGTATATTTATCATTAATAAGATTCAGATTATTAGTACTAAAAAGTAGCATAAATGCTTAGAAACTTAGGAATTAAACGTACAAATTTGACGTGTCATTGTACTGTCTGGTAATTGTTATATAATCTTTATCTTCCATCATTGCAGTTCTTTATTCAATTTCATATTTATGCAAAGATAATAGGTTAGTATATTTTAATAATTAATTAAACCTTTGCTCCATTTAAGTAACTAATTAAATGATCCGACGCATTCTTTAAAACATCAATTAAAGGAAACAGGTGTGGGAGTTTGTAAATGTTATATTGTTTTTGAATGAGTAATAATTTTGATACTAGAGGGCGCTGGCGTCGTGCGGATATGAGCATACCGCATTAATAGATGTGCGGTCTTATTCGTATGAAAGTTTTTTTTAAGTCTTTCCGGTCGTTGCGGCCCGGACAACTACTAAGACGTAACCGCATTTTTCTATGGAAAAACGCTTTTTTTATCTAAACTCCAGATATGGCGCCGATACCATAATTACATATAGATTTGCCGTCATTTTTCACTCCCGAGAAATGGCACTTTTAACTTGGAATTAAAATATAGTAAACAAAGAAAAAGAAAACATATAAGCAACTTACTAATAAATAAATAAACTATTTGCCGCCTGCGACTCCGTCCGCTTAATAATAAAAGAAAAACTTAGTAACTAACCTATGTGTTCGTCCAGACACATGTGTGCCAAATTTCAACATGATTCATTGAATCCTTCTAGAGATACCTTCTAACCAACATTCATTCATACATCACATCTGTCGCATTTTCTAGTAAGATAAAATAAAAAAGCAAAAGCATTTTATACTTGGCAACATTCAAGTATAAAATGGCAACTTGGCAACATTCTACAATTGATTGCCTATGGTAAATATTGTAAACAATACAATATCTACCCATTATTTGTTATGAGAAATACTAAAAAGTTTTAACCATAAAGAAAATGATGAGACTTTTATAGTAAAAGATCGAATAATCGATTATAAACAATTCTAGTAGTAATATCAATGACTATTCAATTTTGCCGCGTTTCTAAGTAACATTAAAATGTATTCCGTTGCTGTTATCATTGTTCGTAGAAATTATAAGCTCTTTGTTTGTGTTTCAAGAACACCTGTCAATACTATAATTATTTGTTCTTTTAATTATTTTTTTTCGTCAATAATGGCATATGACAAATAAAATAACATCAACAAAATTTGTCTTCTATTGCTTTGAAATAAATATTTGTAACTTTATATATACGTTATGTTCATTATAAATGAATTGGTATATAAGTCTTGAATATATAATCGATTATTTATTTCTTTAATAAATGAAAAGGTCATATAATTCTACCGTAGTCACTTGAGTAGATCCTTAAAAATAATAATATTAAAAAAATATATTTTAACCGTAATTCGATGGTGTTCAGTGTGACGAACAACTAATTAAAAAAAATCAATTAAACAACTAATTTTTTGCTACAAAAAAATTCGTCGAATTAAGGGTTAATACATCTAAAAATTATTAAAATTGATGGTTACGTGTTTGGAAACTTGAATACCTATAGGATAATTATTCCAACAAATTATATAGAGTATAGAAATTGTATAGTAATCACAATAAAGTTTCATTTACTAGAGTTAAAAATCATTATTCATCCATGAAAAAAGTTGCTTACGTTAAACGATTTGTTAAGGAAATTATTAACTTCATTTGGAATTATATCAAAAATCCAAAGACGTTTAATTTCCATATAATTTCATGAGTTAATATACATTAGGTAGGTTATTTAATAGCTCGAATAAATGTTTGTAGTTTTTATTTCGCGCAATAATTTACTAACTATTAAATATCGTACAAGAAAACCGCGATATCATGTGTAGGCAACTAATAGAATGCGAACAATCGCTTTTTGCCGCTGTTTTTGTTAAATGAACTTCATAGGAAATTACTTGTACTGTTTCTACATATATTGGGATTTTAATATTAAATCTTTTACTTATTTTTTAGAGATTCTATAAAGACACCTTGAATGGAGTCATAGAATAAATATTTATAACACACTAACAGTTGTCCGTGACTTCTTCCGCGCGGAATTGAAATAAACTTAGGTATAAATATAGCCTATGCCACTAGGCGATAGTGTAGCTGCCCAATAGTAAAGATTTTTCAAATCAGTTCAATAGTTTTGAAGCCTATACAATGCTAACAATCAAAACTTTCCTCTTTATAATTGTATAGATGAATCTATAATTTTTTTAGAAAAATTATCTACAATTTTGAACTTATTTATTTTCTTATCTGTGAAGAGTACCAAAGTATTAAAGAGTTTATCCTTAGGCGAGTGCATATAAAGCGTGGACAAACTTTCTTATGATCTCGAAAGCCGTTCAGCATGCTCGATAAGGTAACTTGAAAACATTTAAATGGACACCAGATAAATATAATCTTATTTAATCGAACAATTAAAGAAAAATCGATTTTATTTAATCCGATTATCAGATGATAATATGAATGAGGCACTGATAGCCTAAATGTTAAAGGTACGGATTTCCGATCACGTGTCGAAAGTTCGAATTTCGAATTAAAAAAAAATTGTTGTTACTAAAATTTATTTCATATTGAAGAATAAAATTTTGATACAAGCACTACGAATGCAATAAGAATAATAAAAACTATCATAATTACGTTTCGGTTATGCCAACAACAAGCCGCAGAAGATCATTATTTTTAATTGCGTATTAATAAGAGTAATTGTGTTTTTTATACGCATGTTAATATTATTATGGCGGCATTACTGAAAATGCGGTCGAATGTTTTGTAAAAACATTGGTATGATGTGTTTACGTGAATATTATTAAAATAATTGACATAAATATGATTAATTAATAAATCAAACAATAGATGGCGCTAACAAGCGTAATATGTATAAATTATGAGAAATAATAT